TGATAGTGATGATGATGATGGTGGGGTGATGATTATGGTGATGATACTGATAATGTCGATAATACTGAAGATGGTAATGATGGTGAAGATGGTGATGGCGGTAACATTGATAGTGATGACAATGATGGTGAGTCTTCTGTTGATGATAATGATGAATTTAATGGTGATGATGATGGTCATGATATTGATGATGACAATACCTTTGATGATGATATTGATAATGGCTATAACATCGCTGACACATACATACATATGTATGTCCATTCCCTCGCCCACACAAACTTATATATATATATATATATATATATATATATATATATATATATATATATATATATATATATATATATATATATATATATATATATATATATATATATATATTATATATATATAATATATATATATATATTACTAAGAAGTAGCTACACTTTGTAGATCCAAAATATGAATCATAAAAATATTATTCTTTTCTTCATAAACTCAATAAGCACTGTGAATAATGTCGATTCGTCTTTTTTCCTTAACAAAGAAAATAAAACATATTTTCTCATGAACCGTATTCATATTGACAAATGTAGAAAGGTATGAATGAGAACGAATATCTTCTCAATACATATTCTATCTTCTACCTAATATAGTTTTCATACTATAATCCTACAACTCTTAATGGTACAGGATACAATAAAACGTCAGCTATAAACCAATGTATGTATTGGTAACAAAAGACATAAAACAGATATCTAAGGATGGATCGAGAACAGTATTAGCCTCCTTCTTTCCTCCTTCTCACACATACTATTACCAAAGCCTTCTTACTGTTACCCTACTAGCCTCTTGCCCTTATCTCATACTAGTCTACGACTCCTCTCTTCCCTTCCTTCTACATCTTTTTCTCACCATTATCACTATTCTTTCTTTCCCTCTTTCTATTATCGACAACGGACGCTATCATATCTTTAAATAACCGCTATCTCGTTATTTCCGTCATCACTTCCGCTCACGGTATACAAATTTCATTAAAAGACGAGACAACAGTTTCGAAATCCATCCTCTTTCTCCGTCTGGGAAGGGAGGGAGAGTAATTGGGGGACATGACATGTATTTCCAAAAACATACCCAAGTGCGCGAGCGCGAACACGCGGGCACAGTGTGCGTATGCGTGTATGTAAATAGTTGATCATGTGCAACAGAATGTCTCAGACATCCCTAAGACGGAATTACATGCTAGGTTAAGTAACATGGTGACGAGATCATACGTCGTACCCGGTCCCGCGTGCATATCGTCACTGCAGACGAGAGGAGGACCTGTGTAGGCCACGTCGCCAGCCAACCCTCGACGGTGAAACTCGTTGCACTCCTCGGTCTCCGCCAGGTTGATCGGGAGGTTCGAGTCCCACCACCACAGTCCCGGCGTGGACGTTACAGGAATTAGATGGTCCCTGAACGACCACTGAGTGGTCCTCTGGCCTTAGGTCGTGCCTACTGTCGTTCCAAGGAAGGTGTTCTCCATCGTTTGCAGCGCCATTGTCATGCAGTTGGTTGCCGAAATCACGATCTTGCGTGAATGGCTGAACCTTCCGTGCATTATTATTCCAGTCGAACGATCCCTGACTATTCGGTCCGTGCTCGCTGGCCCGGGAGTCTGTCTGCTGTCCGGCTCGAGGGACGAAGCCATGGCCTTCTCTGTTGGCTCGCATGAAGTGCAGGAACGTCATCTCACTCCATTCGAGGTTCGCGTTGCTGAAGGCCGCCATTCTGTTGAACTCGTACAGGGTGTGAGGACGCTGTCGGCTCTGGGACAGCACGATGACTCGCGTGGCCTTCGAAATCTGCAGATAGATTCATTTGAATATACATTGGTATTGTGTACGAAGATGAATAAACACACGCACACGCGCTTATGCGAACTCTTATATACTTATTTTTTCTCTCCTAATCTCTCACTTATGCCTTCCCTCCATTATTTCCTCTCTTTCTCTCGTGTAGCGGTAACGCTCTAGTTTAGCAATCTTTCTGGCCTACGTTCAATTCCCGCTCCGCCAGTGGATGGTAACCCCAGCCATTCCTTACACACAGTGGGTAATTTAGCAGCAACAATAAAGAGAATAACCAATGTAATAAATGGAATAAAACTAAATTATTGTTAATAATTATTATTCTTTTCACCCTTTCCCTACCTCTCACTTTCATCTCTCTCCCTCCATATCTCCTTCTCTATTTCACCCCCTCCCTCTCTCTCACGCGTCCTCCTTCTCCCTTTCTCTCTCCTCTCTCGCGTGCGCGCTCTCTCTCTCTCCCTTCTTCCCTCTTTCTCATGAACACACACACACACACACACACAAACACACAAACACACACACACACACAAACACACACACATAGACTATCTTTCTCTCTATCTCCTATTTATCGTCCTCTCACCTTTTCCAGACGAGGCACAACGTAGCGGTGCATCTCGAGCATCATCGCCAGCACATCGTGTATAGAGCGACTTATG